TACCTACCTGCCTAACCATCTACCTGACTACCCACTTGCTCACCTCCCTACTTACTATCTACTTGTTGGCTGGCTTGCAAACTTAATAGCATTTTCATTAATTTGTTTCTTTTCTTTATTAAAACAAGGACTTTGCAGTGGCCCTTAAAGACACATCCATTGATAGCAGCAATCTTGAGGTTTGTGTTTCCYGTACTGTATTTCATTGGTTGTATCCTTGTTTCATAGAGAGTTGAATGTATCATGTTTTCTACTCAGGACACCCAGGACATAAGAGACAGTCTTCTGAAGAAACTGCAAAAACAACTGAAACAGAAGGAGAATGCAGTACAGGTAATCCATGTGATGATGATGATGATGATAATGATGATGATGATAGTGATGATGATGAAGATAGTGATGATATTGACATAATGATGATGATAGTGATGATAATGGTGATGATGATGCTGCTGCTGATGATGATATTGATAATAATGATGATGGTGGTTAAAATGGTTGCTCATGAGAAGACACAAATATGGATACAGCTCAAACAAATTATGTTATTCTCAAGAGAATGACACGTGGTCTGAAAGGGGATAACATTACGCCCAAGCTACATCAGTTCATAATTAAGTTTTTCTTTTCCTTGTATATGATAAAGAGTGTTATGGACGAGAAATATAAATCTCTTGAAGAGAAGAACGCAGAGCTCCAGGAGTTGAGACAAGCACTGAGAGAAAGGGACAGACTGATAGAGAAGATCAACTCTGCCRTCATGAGTGCCGAGCAACAGATACAGGTGAAAAATGATTTCGTATGAGAGCGAGTGTATTACGCATTACTCGGATTACTTCTTTGATGGTCTTTCGAGATTCAGTCACAGTAATCCTAAACCCTGGGGAAATGTGTGGCCTACGGAGAGAATATGCGTTGCTAATTAGTTGCTTATTTGTTGCAGTTGGTGATGCAAGTGATAGTGATGAATTGCGGATGATGCTGAAAGTTATCGTGGTGATGGTGAATTGATTGCGATGATGATGCTGTTGGTCATAATGGTGATGATGATAATGATTGACATGTTTATTGTGATGGTGATGATGACTGATAATGGTGATGATAATTATGATGATGGTGATGGTGGTGATGATGATGATGGTGGTGGTGGTGATAATTATGATGATGGTGATGGTGGTGATGGTGATGGTGATGGTGGTGGTGATAATTATGATGATGGTGATGATGATGATGGTGATGGTGGTGGTGATAATTATGATGATGGTGATGGTGGTGATGATGATGATGGTGATGGTGGTAATGACTGCATGATGGTGTTAAATGATGGCAAACCAGGAGGATGGTGATGATTATTGATTGCAATGATGTTGATTATTAGTGATGATGATGTCATATCAAGTATATTTTATTCCATGCAGTTGTTCGAAAAAGCCTGTAATGAAAAAGACGACATTATTCATCAACTCAAGACATCAAATCAAGAGCAGACCAAAGCACATAAGGTAKAGACCCCTTGTACTGAGTCYCTAGAGGAATTGTTCTGGGAGACAAAATAATGGMTTTTTTTGCATAAGAAAAGACACCCTATTGTTTTGTCTCCCAGAACAATTCCTTTAGGAATTCAATGCAAGGGGTCTATAAAATGTTTTMTCACTGGACTCTGAAGATGACTTCAGGTTGTCGAAACGTCAGTCACCACCAACAACAGTCTTTCTCAAGGCTACACTCTACCGGACGATCACATTTCACAACAAACTTCAACACCTGGATCCAAACCATTTACTCTTAATAGAAGATATAGAAATTGCACGCATGGCATACCATGACCATGCCCTACGCGGTGATTTTTGGCACATGCGTAATAGGTARATTAAGAGCCTTACAAGCCGAAACAGCTGTCCACGGTTTCTAGTTGAGCTGGCTCATTTTTTACGCGACTTGAAGTTGTGAAAGGCCCATTGGCCCTCTTCTTCAGTCGTTTCATCTAAGGCTCATAATTTACCTATTACGCATGTTCTTATTTCATATCCAAGCCCATCCCACACGGCTTACTGCCCGCTCATCTATCTAATACGATAAGCAAGGAGGTATTTATTTAGTAATTTTACTTTTTTCTACCAGGATGCATTAGACGCTATTACAACCAGTAACCGTAACAACGAAGCAATGTTCCAGAACCTGAAGAACACTTTGGAGGCCAAAGAGAAAGAGCTTGTGGTATGTTGGCGTACAAGCCGTGAATTACATTCGCAATGACTTACTTCGATACATGTTATTTCTGATTGTGTGTTGAATATTTGAGTACCAGTGGAATGGTGTTTTTAAACAGAAAACTATATGTATGATTTGGGTGATATAGTGTTTGTCCGGTTGTAGGATGTAATTATAGTTTAATGAGATTGAATGTCACCCAAATCATTTTGCGTTTCTTTATCTGGTTGTTTGTTCGTTTGTTTGCTTTTTTATCTTTTCGTTTTTGGTTTTTGGCTTTGTTTGTCGTTCAAATAACAAATTAAAACAAAAAAAAAAAAAAACAAAAAAAAAAAAAACAAAAAAAACGAAAACCTGAAAACAATTTATTTAATCGTCTTACAGGCCCTCAAAGAGTTCGTTAAAGATATCACCAGAACTTCATCACAGGTAGTCTAGTTATCCTATAAACTATACATATWTWTWTTTTTTTGTTAATTTTTTCTGAAATATTCTTGACGTATTGTTTCCCATCTCTTCAAGAACCAATCAGAGGAGGGCATAAAATTCCAAGACTTGTCTGAAGAGTTAAAAGAAAAAGAGAAGTTTGTTGGGGTGAGTTTATTGAGCTTCGTGCTCGCCTCTAGAAGGTTATGAAGTTTCTCTCGGTGAGGTACATATAGGTTTTACACCATCACGTGCCCACGCCCATAATACAGCTTGGGCTGCCTGTGGTTAGATGGCAGAACAAAATCCCTTTGCTCTCAAGAATTGAATTCTTTCTCGTGTAAAACGATTGTATTGTTCCTGCCATATATAACATTGCTGCCGTCACATGATGGACACATGCCGTCACATGCAAAACCTCTATTGGCGCAAGTAATAGCACGAGAGGAGTAAGTTTAAAAACGCAATGCGTAGCTCAGTAATTTTTTGAAATTCTCTTCGGTTCCCAACTGAGTCGTCGTGTTGATAGCCGCACAATCATATAGAGGCTTCGCACCATCACGTGATGGCAGCCATGACAGGAGAAACAACAATAGAGTCTTTTTCTCCTGAGAACCTGAATTCTTTCTCATGTAAAATCAGAATAGAACAGATTCAATTGTTTCTGCCTCCTGTCATACCTGCCATCACGTGATCAGTGGTGCAAAGCCTCTATTGATGACTTGCAAACATTTCCAATAGAGTCAGAAGATAAAGACATGGCGGCCATGTTGGTAGTAATCGTGAAATCTTTTGTTAAATACCATCAACATGGCGGCGATAACGTAACGTGCAAACGAAAAATACCGAGAGAACCCTTTTTTTTTTTTTTTTTGCTTTTGTAAGAAGTTTGGCAATTTTGCGCATTACAAACATAGCAGTCAGCTACTGAAATGTTTAATTTACTATTGTTATTAGAATCTTCTACAAGAAAGATCTCGTGTCTCGTCAGTGAATGAAGCCAACTCTCAACGACTCATGACAGCGCTACAAGAAAAAGACAAACTTCTCAAAGTGAGTTTATTTTCGTTTCATTGTTGGCTTATTGTTTTCCCTTTCTTTCACTTTAGTTCACTTGTTAATTGGTCGGTCGGTCTTTCGATCGATTGATTGGTTGGTCGGTCTTTCCATCGGTTGATTGGTTGGTCGGTCTTTCCATCGGTTGATTGGTTGGTCGGTCTTTCGATCGATCGGTTAATTGGTTGGTCGGTCTTTCAATCGGTTGATTGGTTGGTCGGTGGATCCGTACGCATTTTCGTTTTCTCTGAATGTTCGTTCGTTCGTTTGAAATCTTCCTCACTGCTTTATTTATGATTAAAAAGACTAAATTTWAAAAAATCCAATGTTTTAGCGTGGTATGTCCTCTTATTTACCACATTTCTCGACCAATCAAAAAGCGAGAAAATTTACATTTGTGTTAACAAGTTAATTCTATCATTGCTATGTCTTTCAGGATGCATCAGATAGCATAATCCGTATCCAGAATGAAAAGAATTCCACCATACAACACCTTCAGGAACTACTGAACAACAAGGATCTCGAAATGCAGGTTAGATGCCAACTGGGATATCATTTATGCTTTTATTGCTGTGTGTTTAAATTAAATATCTTTCTAACGAGCAGGGATTATTGGGCGCGAAGACCCATAAATAAAGCTATTCAGCTTAGCATACTCACCTCTCACCTCCAAAGTCTCGAATTCGATTCCTGAAATCTGCTTTTCGCGATTTTATATTGCACGATTTTCCGTAATTTGACTTTTACTTTCTCTTTCACATTCACTCCTGCACGCAATTATTTTTGTGTTTGCTCGATATTTCTTTTCCGAAAGGAGGGGTTGCGCGATATTTTTTTCGTAGGTAAAGTGCTTGCTCGACATTTTTGGGGGGATTTACACAACCCCCTCAATTATCTAATGGTCTGTCCCGTATTGGTACAAGATCTGATCACAACAATCTGTTATTCAGTCTCTAGAAAACAACAAAGTTTGGCTGAACCAGGAGCAAGAACTCCTAGTGAAGAAACTGAGATCTGGCCTAAAGGACAAAGACACTATAATAGAGGTTAGTAGGAAGATATGCCTGTAATGATGGAAGTGGTGAGGTCCTTGTTAAGATTTTGCTTCATTTCTTTTTTAAGGAACTGGTTGAAAGCAATAAAGAAAAAGACCAACTGTTGATGAAACTGCAGGTGAGTTGGCTGAAGAAAAGCGCTAGAACTGAACCTTTCTCTTCCCTTCATTTCCCTTCCATTCCCTTCCATTCCCTTCCCTATCCTTCCCTTCCCTTCCATTCCCTTCCCTATTCTTCCCCTCCCTTCCCTTCCCTTCCAGTCCCTTCCCTTCCCTTCTCTTCTCTTCCTTTCCTCATATCGAAAACATTTATTTCTCGTAATCCCTCGATTTCTTGTAGGACGCTTTAAGGACACCCAAAAAGAATTCTGAAATGGTAAGCTTTTAAAAAGACTCTAATATTCAAAGACAGCTGATTCGCAAAAGCTTGCTGTGCAATACGTTTGTTTTTCGAATTCATCTCTTGCGATTTAAAAGTTTCGAATTTTTGATATGCACACTATTCTTGAAATAAAGGTGTAATGTATATCTCAATGTCTAAGAAGGTTATTTGCACCTATACTGTGCCACAATATTTATATGTATTAAAAGCCTTTGATTTCTGTTTTATTTCAAGGCTGCTCTCAAACAAACCATCCAAGAACTAGAATCAACTTTGAAAGCCAAAAACAGTAAGTAGATAATAATGCGGCTCCAACTATTTGGAACAGTCTCCCATTGGAGATTAGACAGAGTAGTTCAGTAGGACCATTTAAATC